AGGGATGCTAATGGACATGACAACTCTCTTGCATAATATAAATAGTTGAACGGCCCTATCAAATCATATACCATAATAATTATAAGTGATTAGCAAACAGGATTTTCAAATAAATTAATACAAATGAATTGCATTAGCCTAAACATAAAAGTGTCAGACAGCAATTCAATGGACAAATTCCAAATATCTCATCTGACACCTGATCTGGGCTGCCCTGAAGTGCACCTCATCAAAAATCTCAGATTCTAAGAGAACCAACAGAGAATCAGTTTGGTATGGTCTTCAAGGCACCAGGCTAGAAAACAGGAGACAGTGTGTTCTACTCCTACTTAAGACATGAAGCCAGTTGAGTGACTTTGGGCCAGACACTCTCTCTTAATCTTAAGAAGCAGACATAACAAAACCTGCAAGAATGACTCAAGGAAATCACTAGGAGTTAACACTGATTTGAAGGCATATTCACACACACACACACACACACACACACACACACACACACACACACACACACACCAAAAAAGAAGAAAGAAATAATATGGGTGTAGCATTAACAGTGTAGCATTAGAATCTAAACCTTTTTTCTAAAAATTGAAAAGGAAGTTGGAATAATTTAATGGAGACTGCTGTAAGGGTTACCTTTCTGGAGACTTCAAGCCCATTCATGAACAGGGCAACAGGGCTCCCTCTGGAAAGGGGGAAAATCCAACATTAGAAATTACGTTTGGTCCAGACATTTGTGAATGTTTAATACAGAATTGGGATTAAAAAATACCCGGAGAATGCCGGGTTAACAATTAATCTTAGAATAATTCTCAGAAGCATACAAAAATAATTGTTTCATACGAGGTTCAGCAATGTCTAAAATCTATTAATATGCCTAATGTTGTTAAAATTGGAAAAATAATTTGTCCTACACAGTCTATATATACAGCTATTTTTCTTTTTTGCTAGACACATATGATAAGACTAATTTTAATGTCTTCCTTTTGATTTTGACTCCACTGATTACATATTTTGTTGTAACTAACTCATTCCAGTTTTTGAAGTTGCTGTATTTGTTTGACTACCTATAGCTTATCAGGGGCCTTCAATGAGTAACCACCTTCTCCACGGAAATAAAACATGAAAACATAGATCCCCATTTGAGACATAAATAGATGCTGGAATATTTTTGTTCCTCTGCATTTGCATACAAATGACAGAGGGCCAATCTAACAACACATTAGACCAAAGCTTTTAGAAGCAGAAAAAAAGTGCTTTGAAAGTTGCCACAGGAACTCTGTCCTATAGCCTGTGTAAGTAGTACGATAACAGCTTTTCAGGATACAATCACATTGGATTGGGGTCATGGGACATATTATCAAGCAAATATTTGTTCTTTAAATATCAGTAAGCTAAATGTAAGCACTTCCTCAACATTTGCCTTGGGGCAAACTTGTCATCAGGGATGACTTAAACAAACTGCTGCTGAAACTCGCTTAGTCCAACTCTCACCAGTTGTCAGAAATGCCTTTACAATCCAGGAACTGACAGCCATGCGTTCAAACTCTCTGCTGGTCCTTCCTTTATTTTTTTCATGTCTATTTCTTGCACATATAACACAGTACCAAACGACCCACCATTGAATCTCTATCTCAGACCATAGTTTTTCCTAGACCGAATTCCCCAGTTCCATGAACTAGGTCCTAGCCGACCCACAAGGAAAAGAGGAAAGTCACAATACCCACAGGTATGAAGTCTGCAACACAACTCCATGATTCCAAAAACCAAAGCATGATCCAAGAGTCTGAAATCAGAGAGCCAAGTACAAGGTCCACAAATGAAGTCTGAAATCCAGACCCAAGAAACATGACCCAAGATTCATGAGGCAGGGTCCATGAAAGCTGGGAAGGTACAAAGCAAAGAGGTGTTCTTGACAAACACATATTTCTCAGTGTCTGGCTAAATCAACCTATCCCAGGTATTCCTTATGATGAGTGGTAGGACTGCTTGCTCATGAGCAACCTCACCAACCTCCTTTGTGCCTCCCTCTGCTCCACTCTCCATGGATCGGGCAAGGGTAGCAGCTGTTCTTCATTGTGGCAATCTGTAGCCTGTTGTCACCACTGGCCTTCTGCAGCTGATCCTTTCCAGCAGGCAGCTCCACATCCAGTTGTCCCTCCATGGTGGCCTGGGACTGCATTGTCCTCAGCCTCTGGACTCTCCATGCCATTCTTATCAGATGGTCTTGGTTCCAACTCCTTCTCGGAACTGGAGTTTGACAGGGCCATCACATACCGTCAGACCATTGACCTCTTTAATACTGTTGGGAAAGATAAACTATAACATAGCTGGAAGCTTCAGATTGTGAAGTTTCCAAGAGTTGGCCTAATTAATTTATGAGCCTCGAGACAAGGTTAAAAAAAAGCATTCATTTATTAGGACTAACATCTTGACATGGACTTCTGTGGAGCTGAAACTAAATCCCACTTAATGACATCTGAACTCCAGGTTGACCTCTCTCTTTTGTGGCCAGTTGCTTTCTCATGTCGTTGGCACGCAGCCTGCTGTCGACTTTTATTGCTACCCGGAGCCACTCAGAGAGTTGATTTGGGATGTCGCGGTATGCGGTTACCTGGGCAATTTGCTTGTCCAGACTTGTTCTGAAGAAATGCACCAGCAGTCGCTCTGATAAACAGGATAGCTTTCCTATGATCTTTCTAAATTCATGGATGTACTCTTTGATAGGGCGGCCCCTCTGCTTTAGTTTGCTGAGTTCCTCTTCCGCATATGGATCCTCCCCCTCCTCAAACCTGGCCTCTAGCAGTCGCAGGAAGTCATCTATGTCTTGCAGTTGGGGGGGGGGCTCTCCTCTTGTGGAGGGCTACTAGCCATTTCCTTGCTTCTCCCTCTAGACCCTCTGCAATGGCATTCACCATGGTTCTGGGGGATGGGTAGAGGTACCCAAAGCATTCTAGGTGGGTATCAGCTGAATCAAGGAATAGGGCTAGCTGATCTGAGTCTCCGTCAAACTTTCCCCTGAATTGGGGCAGGTCATTCAGCCCTACTCCTCCAACCTCCTGTTGGCCTCTGTATGCTTGCGTCTGATATGTCTGGCCATCTTCTTCACCCTTAGTTCGGAGAGAAGGAAGGAGTTGCCTGCTCTTGGCAGCCTGCCTGATGTGTGGGCGAGGCACTGATTGCCATTTTGGGCTCTTTCTCCTTCTATCAAAGGGGCGGGGGCTGCGCTCCAGTATGCATCTTCTACCCTCAACAGGATTAGATGCGCCTCCCCTCTCATTTGGGTGGCATGATGGCCCCTCATCAGCAAGGGTGGCCTGGTCAGGATCCTCCCTCTGTTGCTCTATTGCACTCCCTAGGGATTCCATCTGGGGCTTTGGGAGCCTGGCTTGTTTCCAGTCCCACCTCCAGTCCACCCTTGCTAACTTGCTTGAGGCTCTTCCCTGTATCTGGGAACTAGGGCAAGGGAATTCCAGCTCAGCTGCTTTAGGGGTTGATTTCCAAAAGTACTCATCTTGTCTTGCTCCTGCTGCTGGGGAAGACATAACTGCTTGGCATTGCCTCATACCTCCAGCTGTAATCAGTCTTTTTCTCCAGCCCCCCAGTTGCCTGATTTTCCCTCCGAGCACCCCAAATATTGGGGGAGTGCTCGGAGAGCCCGGGATTCAGGAAACCCGGAAATCTTAATAGATTTTTAAAAGTCAGTTTCAGCTCTCTGTGAAGTTTCCAAGAGTTGGCCTAATTAATTTACGAGACTCGAGACAAGGTTTTTAAAAAAACTATTCATTTATTAGGACTAACATCTTGGCACAGACTTCTGTGGAGCCGAAACTAAATCCCACTTAATGGTGTCTGAACTTTACCCCCTGTGTCCCCTCCCCTCTGGTCATTAATCACATTCTCCAACAGGACGTTATGGCAGGGTTCTGGACAAGCACATTCACATCCCTGTTACAGAAATATAAAACTTTTACTCTGGCCAAAAGTATGCAAGGCACTCCCCCCCCCCTCCTCAAGCTGATAGTAGTCATGGAAACGCTTTAGACATTGACCTAGATTTTGGATTGATTGCCAGACCAAACACCTCAATAATCAGATTAACCGTATTGTGGCCATAAAAATATTCAAAGCATGAAATTAGTCTTTTGCCTAACTTCTTAACTAACATTGAATGGAAGCAAAAGATATGTAACTAACAAAGGTTGGCTAAGTGATAACTAATTCTGGGTACACCAGAAAAAACTAAGAAGCACACATGCTCTCAGTTTTCAGAATGTCCATGGTAGGATTAATGTAATGGGGAGAATGAGTAATATTGAGGAATAGAAGGAAGAGCTGCAACCAAGGCAATGGTCAGATTAAAAAAGCCTGGGACAGGAATGTACTCTGAGTAAGTATCTCAGATATGACTTTCCCTAGCTCTCATGAAGATAAATGAAGGGAGGAGGAAACCAGCAGACTTGCAACATTCTGGTTACTGTAATCTTATAATAACATTAATATTATTAGATTAAGAGTCATGATGGCATAGTGGTTAGAATGCAGTATTGCAGGCTAATTCTGCTAACTGCCAGCAGTTTGATTCTCACCAGTTCGAGGTTGACTCAGCCTTCTATCCTTCCAAGATTGGTAAAATGAGGACCCAGATTGTTGGGGGTAATATCCTGATTGTGTAAAATGCTTAGATAGGGCTGTAAAGCACTGTGAAGCTGTATATAAGTCTAAGTGCTATTGCTATTAATATACATGACTTAACAATAATACTTATGTACCAATGCATAGTGGTTTACAGCACTCTCTGGGTAGTTCACAGAGTCAGTACATTGTCCCCAACAATCTGTGACCTCATTTTAGCAACCTCAGAAGGATGGAAGGTTGAGTCCATCTTGAGACTTTTCCTGACTGTGGGCAGAGTTAGCCTGCAGTACTGCAGTTTAACCACTATGCTACCCTGGTTTTGTTTTCTTTTTATGATATAACTTGAAGGGCTGATAGTTTCCTTCCCTCCAGCCTTATATACAGCCACACTACTGTTCCCATGTCAAGAAGAACTATTTTTTTTTATTAAATTGGGTAAAAGTAATCTTATGGTATGATTTCCTTCCATTTTAGTTTGTTAGAAAGGGTTGCTTTCCAACACTCACAAACAAAACAGAAGATCTGAGAGGTTTAGATAAATATTGAGATTTATAGTAATATATATAAAGTTTAGGAGAAGCACTAACATTGAGTTTTTAAAAAACACTCAAGAGCAGCTAGAGAGGATTAAGAATAATCAGTGAGCACATTATTCTGACTAATGGAAAATAGGATAAAAAAAAGGAAAAGGAACAATGGGGAAAAAAAGAATACCTCATGAATTGGAGGACTTCATATTGAATTGTTTTGCGATAGATTACCCCAATATAGATAGCCACTGGCTTACAACCTCAACAGGGACCATAAAATTTGCCATTAAGTACAGTCATTAAGTTAGACATCATGTGAGTCTGTAGGGAAGGAGATAGTCCAATCCAACTTCTCTGTATGCGTGTGTCTGTTTGAGAGAGGGGGGAGGGAGGAAGACAAGGAGAAAGGAGGGGGAGGGAGAAGAAAAAGAATGAAGGAAACATTTTCGCAAAGGAGAAAAACAAATGCTGTCGCTTTAAATCGGAACTGAGCATGCCTGGCTGTGGAATTCTGGGAGTTGAAGTCCACAAGTCTAAAAAAATGTGAACCCCACCACTGTATCAGTGCCTCCCCAGCCATAAACCTTACCGCACGTCACTGGTCTGTAGAGATCCTCAGTCATCCAGTTCATGGCTGTCCCAAAGGTGCTTTTTCAGGAAGCGAACTGGACTTTCTTGTTTTTTAAAAGACATTTCGCTTCTCATCCAAGAAGCTTCTTCAGCTCTGACAGATAAGCCTGTAAGTGCTTCAACAACCCTTCCGACTTTTAGGTATACAATTTGGGATGAACACCCTTTGAATGGTGTGGGAGTAGGAATGGATTTCCAGAGGAAAAAATGGCAGAGTACAAGAACCAGGAACACTCCTCAGGTGACCCTGAGAACACAGATAAACCTCCAAGTGCTTCAACGACACTTTAAAAAAGATGCAAATGACCAGCTGTCTGCAAGGAATATAAATCCTTCCATTCCTACCATCCTGTCAGAGCTGAAGAAGTTTCTTGGATGAGAAGCGAACGTTTTCAAAAGAAAAAAACCAGAAAGTCCAGTTGCCTCCTAAAAAAAAACACCTTTGGGACATCATGTGAGTGCACCCAATTTTAACATATTTTTTGCCACAATCATTAAGCAAGATATGACTATGTCTTGTGTCCTTCCCCAGCTGGCGTCCCCATTAACTTTGCACAATAGAAGCTTTCTGGGAAAGGCACAAATGGCAATTATGCAAACCTGGAGGCTGCAATTGTTGTAAGTGCAAGCCAAGTACCTGGATCGCAATCACATGTCCACAGGGAATCCGTGACAGTCAAAAGTGCAAGGACCAGTTGTACGACACTTTTTTTCAATGCTGACGTAAATTTGAATAGTCACTAAATGAATGGTTATAAGTTGAGGACTACTTATAGAGGAATTAAGAGGGATCAAGGCATTAATTAAAAGAAAAACAAAACCAAAGTTACCTAGAGATATTTTTCAAGTGTTCTACCAGCTATGGTCAAAAGCAATTGAATCCAATTCAGTCCTTTTTTCTACATAAATAGCTATTTATGCACATTTTTGGTCGTTCTTCATACCAGGCCTTATTGTGCAAAATATTTGAACAACTGTAACCCAAAGCTCATAAAGTGTTTTTTTTTTAATAAACCACAGAAAAACAGAAGGAAGGGAATGCAAAGTTTACTTTGAAGTGTCCTTCGGAAGATTTGTACAAGATTAGAAGTTCTGGAGATGGGGTGGGGAGTTGCAATGCAGAAGTGAAAAGAGCTTTCCTTTCCATGAAAGTCCTCATTGTGCCCTCCTGTTCAAAAGTATTGATTTATGGTCTTCCCAAATGTGAGCCCTGTGGTTCAAAATTTGCTACAGATGATAAACAAGAGATTACAGATTAATAGATGGGTGGCTTCCTCAGAAAAAAAAAAATATTCCCATGTTGACAGTACTTTTTATTTGGGTCGAGCACTAGCCGCGCTACATTCTTCCAGCCAAATACGATTAGGATAGTTTTTCTAAAGATAGGGTTAGAATGTACCTCCCAGATTGGCAG